GCCTGGCCTGGCTCTGCGGCAGAGGGGCAGCACCGGTCAGTCCCATCTCACCCAGCCTCCCACCAGGACCCACCATGTCCACACTACACCCAGCGCCGTGGGGCTCCTCCAGCCTCCATCCTGGGGTGCTGGAGAGCCTGCTGGCCGCCCTGCCCGGCCCGGGGATGGTGCTCTGCACCGTGGCCCATGCTGGACGTCTCAGTGGGCAGCCCATGGGCCAGACAGAACCAGCACCTGGAGGCAAATGCCACCACGAAGGGTCCAACCCAGGACCCACACAGGAGAAATCAAGGTTGAGTGATGCCACTTCCTACACCCCTGCTCCATCCCCCTCCACCCTCCTGTGGAGACTTGGGGTGGGAGCACTCGGGTGTTGACCCCTTGTCCCCTTCCCGGGCTGAAGCAGGGCTGGACCCATCTACTCCCCTAACCACGGGGTCCCATTGCCCCCCAGACCTGTGCCATTCCTGGCGTCCGACTGCTTCTTCACCACCGTCAGCTTGTAGCCATCGCCGTAGGTGCTCTTCAGGAACAGCGGGGAGCCGCAGCACTTGAGCTTGCCGTGGGAGATGATGGCGATGCGGTCACCCAGCAGGTCGGCCTCGTCCATGTGGTGTGTGGAGAGCAGGATGGTCCTCCCTGACAGCGGCACAGAGCCTCAGTGGAAGCAGCTGGGGCTGCCGCAGCCGGAGGAGCAACGCCTGTCTCTGCCCACCGCAGCTCACCTGGCTTGTACTTGAGGATGAGGTCCCAGATGGCCCTGCGCGCGTACGGGTCCACGCCAGCCGTGGGCTCGTCCAAGATCACGGCCCGCGGGGGAGGCCCACGGCCAGCTTCCTCTTCATCCCCCCCGAGAGGGTCTGCACCAGGGAGTGGCGTTTGTTGGAGAGCTCCAGGTCCTCGATCATCCTGGGGACAGGAGAGAAGCACCAGGGATGCCGGGGGGGCCGCACCGGTGGCCGGTCCCTGCGGGGAGCACACGATGGGTGTAGAGCTCCAGGTGCTCCTGGGCCGTCAGCTCGTCGAAGAGCGCGTCGAACTGCGGGCAGTAGCCCAAGCTCTGCTGGACCTGCAGGAGCTCCTTCAGGATGCTGCGGCAGAGGACAGAGGGACCGTGGGGAGCAGGAATTGCTTTTCGGGAGCACCCCATCGCTCGCCCCCCTTTCACACGCCTTCATACTGGAGCATCTTCCACCAGGTAACCCACAACAGGCACCCTTGGCCAAGAGCCGGTGCCCATGGCGCCCCCCCGACCATGGTCGC